ATCTGTTACAGCCTGGACATCACCATTTATTTTTTTTTTTTTTTTTTTTTTTTCTTGAACAAATGCTCCAGTCTATTAGTGGGGAGCAGCACGTGCTGGGAACCGGGCCCAGCATCCCATACCGAATTATACAGATCATTTAGAACATTTGAGGTATTTTGAGGTCATTTGAGATACCGGGGCCATTACCCGGCTTCGGTTGAGAACAAACTGTGAAACAGAGTCCTACAAATGCTCACTACTCTCAGGTTCCCTGACAAACCCTTCTAAGACTTCCCAACACCGTCTTACTCCTTGCTGAGTTCTTCCAGGCCTCACGCCCCCACCCTGCTGGGTTACAGGGCAACACAACTCACCCCAGCTCCGACCAGCGTCATCCCAGCAGCAACCCTTGGTCGTCCCTTGGGATGCCCACCCCAAAGCATCCCCAGATCTCTCGACCAGGCCTAGATCTCTCGACCAGGCCTCACGCTCCTGCATCAGCAGGTTACAGGGCAACACCCCAGCACCGGCCAGCGTCGTTCTGGCATCGAACTGCCACAGATAACAGCATCAAAACTGCCTAAGATGGGTTGCTAAGAAACCCTAAAGTCCTAAGACATTCATAAGAACAACTGACGTTTTTTCCATTCAAACTCTACCAAGTCAAAAGAATATGTGTGTCAATAAGCCTCCCCATCACGAATCAGATAGGTGAAACCCATTCAATCCCCCTACGACCACCACCAGCATGGTTAATTTTAGCGCGAACCGAAGCTCATCCAGGCCTCGTGCTCCCATCAGGTTAGGTTACAGAGTTGCACCACCTTGCTCCAGCACCGGCCAGCCAGTTACGACCCCCGATGACCACTGGGACTGCCCCCGCAAACAGCCCCCCAGAGCTCTCTACCAAGCCTCACGCCCCCATTAAGCTAGGTCACAGAGTTGCGCCACCTGGCTCTGGCTCTGGCCAGCGTTGCTCCTGCATCGGTCTTCGAGGGCCACCGACTTTTTAACCACCCCTCACAGGATCACAGATGGCGTGCCAGATAACACCTATTCCTACAACCTCCTCGAGAGGCAACCAAATGGAAAGCTATAGTAAACTGGATGATAGATTTCTTAGAGAGAAATCGCCCCTCCCTCACCTATTCCTACAACCTCCTCGAGAGGCAACCAAATGGAAAGCTATAGTAAACTGGATGATAGATTTCTTCGAGAGCGATCGCCCCTCCCTCCCCCTACCCCTTCCCCCTCAGCCCTATATTGCCTCCGCCGAGGAGAGTCACTCACTCTCCCTCGGCCCCAATATAGGACCAATCCTCTCCCACCCTTTCCCCAGGAGCACGCGGTTCCCACCTAAAGCATGCCCCCCCGCCCCTTGCCCATTTCCGCCTCCGCAGGGACTGATGGACCCACCCACAGTCCCTGCCCCAAAATAAGGCAACCCCCTACTCCGCCCCTACCCTCTTTGAGGCATTCACCCCCCACCTTGCGATGCCCCTGCAGGATAGAACTCCCCCCACCCCCTTCCCACCGTTCAGCCCTCCGGGAACAATCCGATCCAGCCGACTATAGTTATTGATGACACACTTACCAAAATATCATTTGCTTGGATTTTGTTGGATTTTGTTAGTGACGATGGACAGCACCCGAACGATAATAAAGAGAATGATGGTGACAACCAACTCACCTGCTGATGCAGAGCAACATCTAAAAAACAAGTTTATGATGATGATGATGATGATGATGAGGATGAGGATGAAAGCGGAAAGATGATGCTGATCTTACCAAAGAGCAGCACCAACAGCCCCTATGATTACAAACTGATGATGATGATGATGATGATGATGATGATGATGATGATAGTAATGATGATAGCGATGATGATGGTGATGTTGATAATGATGATGATGATGGTGATGTGAGTAATGATGATGATGATGATGATGATGGTAAGGATGATGACGCATAGCACCCTATGATGACTACAAAATGATGATGATGTGATGACGAGCTCCTTGGATAATAACCTAAAGATGATGATAATGATGATGATGATGATGATGATGCTGATAATGATGAGCAAAGCCCTATGATGACGTCAAGTTTTGCCACCTGTGTCATATGATGGAGAGAAATTTGACGATGGTGATACAACAATGAGTGACGAGCAGCTCCCCTGATGCGCGGCTCCTTGATAGTAGTAATGACATTAGCGCCGAACAGGAGTGAAGACATACACCTTGATGATGATGACCAGCAGTACCCTGATGTTGATGATGGTGATGACGAGCAGTGACCTGATGATGATGACAAAGCATTACCGTGAAGATGATGTCAAATCACGCCCTGTTACTGATGATGGTGACGAGCAACACCCTAATGATAATGACGCCGATGCTGGTGCTGGTGGTGATCAGCGAGAGTGCCGCCAATGACAGAGATGTATACAAAAAAAACGAAATCACCGCACTCGATATCGCCTCCAATCCTCCTCCCGCTCCATGTAAGCACGCGCTCCTCCTTTCCGTCCACGTCATACCAGCCGCCTACCACAACACTACGCAGGCCAAGGAGCAGAAGCCATAAGAAGGCTGAACTTCTCAAGGAGACCCACCTCCTGTCGAAGGCAAGTTCCCCTTCACCCAACGTGCTAACCTCTAACACCACTGGATGAAGCGCAAAGCTGGAGATGGCACCGAAGTGCTTTCAAAAGGCAGGCTACTTCATCACAACCCCATCACCAAGGCGCCGACACGCCAAGACTGTCCACGTCATACCTAGCCGCCACTTTGTGCTCGCGTGTTTCCAACTTGTAGGGAGCCACCTTAAAAATGGACTTGTATTAATTTATATTTCAAAAAACCAGTTTTCAAAGAGCTTAGTTTTTACCAAACTGCTGAAAACAACTTATAGTTCTATAAATGAGTATTCACTGAAACTTTTTTTTTAACTTCTTTCGAGTTCGCCTTGCAGTCCTTAAACATTGTCTTGTTTGAGCTATGCTTTTTGCTAATCTAGTGAGAACGACTTATAGTCTTATAACATGGACTTTGCTGGAAAGAATTTTCTTGCATATTTTGAGAATCGCTCGACTTTTTGCCCGTTTTTTGCCTTTTTTATCGGGAAACAGTTAAAAACGCTCTCTTTTATGTGTCAAAAATAAATGTTTGACTTTTACTCTTTCATTCTATAAAAAAATGTTAGGTTTTCACGAATTCAGTGTTAATATGTTGTTGTGAGACATGGATCGCAGGGCTAACTGTGTTCTAACGTCTAAATCTTATCCTCAAAACTAGTTTACGAAAAAAACGTATCGCATAATTTGGCAAAATGAACTTTCGTTTCGGTCGAGTTTTCACGAAGTGCATGTTCTGCCTCCGTTTTCTTCCTCTGTGCCTGTGTAGATGTGTGTTGTCATGGTTGCTATACACAACTTAACCCCCCCCCCCCCCCCCCAAAAAAAAAAAAAAAAACATGACTGTGCCAGATTGTTTCATTGGATTTCACCGACTCATCAGGAGTGTGTTGTGGAGTGTGTGTGTGTGTGTGTGTGTGTGTGTGTGTGTGTGAGAGAGAGAGAGAGAGAGAGAGAGAGAGAGAGAGAGAGAGAGAGAGAGAGAGAAGTGTGGGTGTTCGACACCGTAATACATTTGATGTGTGAAAGACAGAGTGGGGCAGGTGCGATCAAACCTGTTCTGCTTCAATCTGTTTTGGATGATCTACGAAATCCTAGATGGTGAACGGCTGTCGTCTACGGTCTTCTGCGTGCTTCTGGTCATTACCTTGCCTCCGTCGGAATTCCCCTTGCTTGCTTCTTTTCTTGTTCTTCCTTTTCGTTAACAGTAAAAGATGAAGAAATAAAACCTCTCTCTCTCTCTCTCTCTCTCNCACACACACACACACACACACACACACACACACACACACACACACACACACACACACGGAGCACGCATGGCCATTCACAATTGCGGTGGCAATTTTATGATTTTATCCTCTCACTTGCTTTATCTTGCATGATACTAATTGAGCTCACTGACTCTTTGACATTGCAGCTCCAGCAGGTGCGCAGGTGTCCGTATATCCGATCTTGCGGCATGTCTTGGGGAAAATGACTAATTCTAGTGGAGCTGCTTGTCCTCGTGGTAGTGGCGGCAAGGAGGTCCAATTGTTGTTGGATATGGAATGGACTGTGTCCGACGGCTCAGAAAACAGAGTGGATGTTGTTTGGATTGATGTGCATCCTCATCAGCCATGGGTGCTCTGCATTCCTCGATGTAGCGTATGTTGTCTTGAAGTGTGGAACTACGAGAATGGAACACGTGTCACGTCCTGGGTGGTCCCTGAGGAGCATCATGCTTCTTTTGCAAATTTCATCCCACAGAAAGATTGGATTCTGACAATGGGCAAAAAGCAGACCTGCGTTTACGAAATCGAGGCTTCAAAACTTGCGTTGCCTCGAAGTTCTAGAACATCCTGGTGTCATTCTCGTGCTGGGAATTGCTGTCCATCCTAGCTTGTCCTATATATGGAGCTCATTCAAAAGACATGTGGCTTTGTGGAATTGGGACGAAGGATGGGAGATGGTTAGGTTTGAGGGTCTCAATTATGATGAGGAGGAGGATGATTTTGGTGATGATTATGATTGGATACGTGCAGTGACCTTCCATCCTACAGACTCGGATATCCTTGCAGCTGTTGCTCGGAATGGCACGATCCAGGTTTGGCACATAAGCAACAGGTCGTGTGTTCAAACCCTCTTAGATTACTATGGCACGTGGGCCTCCAAAGTTACCTTTTGCAGTCATGAGAAGTCAATTCTTCTGTCATGTCATGACGACAATTGGCCAGCCGCGGGACATGGCAGTATAGTAGTCTGGGATTATAATAAGGGAGTTGAGTTGGCCAAATTGAGATTCGGCTATTTTCAGTTTCATCTCCTGATAGCTTTCTTCCATTCACACTTGCCTTACATCCTCGGTGCATCATCCGATGGTCACATTGGGTCTGGGATGAGTCAAGCCATCAGCCTCTCGCATCCTACGAAATTGGTGAGAGGTTTAAGGTAAAAGGCATGGCTCCTTGCCAAAACTCCAATCGTGTCATTGCTTTCGATTGTAAGGGGGAGTTCCTCGTACTGAAGATAGTGACGAAGGGAAGAAACAAGGAAAGCGAAGAGGAGATGCAGAAGGCATCTGTCTCTGTGCAAAGGCCCCGGAAACACACGCCAATTGCTGCTGTTGATGAATCAGCCGCGGTGGAGGAAAGTGAAGAGGAGGTGCAGACAGCATCTGTGTCTGTGAAAAGGCCCCGGACACACACGGCTTTGGCTGTTGTTGATGAATCAGCCGCGGTGATATCAAAGACAAGGGTTATGGAAGTTATGGAGAAGGAAGCCAAAAAAGCCGACTATGGCAAACCAGAGTGCGAGAAGAGAATTGAGGAGGCGGTGGCCAATTTGGAGCTGAAGTGGAGGAAAGCAGTGAATGAAATGAGAAAAGAGCATGCAGCGAGCCTCCAAAAGCTGGAAAAGGAATTGGAGCTGAAGCGCATGAAAGCAGTGAAGGAACTGAGAGAAGAGCATACACAGCGGGTCCAGACGCTGGAGGGTGAGGTCAGAAATTTGAAGGCAGAGATCGCAGCAATGGCCGACCAAAGGAATGGAGAGTCAAACCCCGAGATTCAAAACCGTTTAGACTGAGAGCATAGTAGACACTTACCAGGAATGTTTTGACAAGCCAATTCTCTGAGTGCTGAGAAGAAGTCTCAGGATGGACAAGTTGCCAATAATCCAAGCTGCAGATAGACAGATTGAACGGGAGATCAGAGGAAAGCGTTTTGGTGTCATGGCGACAAGCTTGTTATGAAAGGGAGTGAGGGGCCGAGACATCGAGGAGTCATCCTCATTGGTGGGGCCGTTGTCGGAACTGCTTTTGTGGTATACAAGGCAAAGTATGTGGGCTTTTCATCACCCAGCCCCCCCCCCACACACAAAAAAAAGGGACAGGCCAATGTGGTTTAACAACTTTAACACAAATTAACAGGTTGTTTGGGAATCCCACCGCTGCAAAATGGGTGTTGTAACTGTTGTTTTGTTAAATCTGTCGGCAGTATGTTATGAAGCATGAGTACCGGGTTTCATGAGTCCATGGCAAAAATGGAAGGGTCCTGTGCGCGAGCTCATGGCAAATGGGGTGGCATGAACTGACCGATGGAGTTTGCATTTAGAGGAAAGCGTGCAAGTGGAGTCCTGCTGTGGGCATGCCCGCTGTGTCTTCCTTGCAATGATGGCAGGAAGGTTAGCCTAGCTGTTTGTTTGGACGTTGATTTTGCAGTAGTTCGACTTTTTGGCCGCTTGTCAAGAAGTTGATTTGACCGCTACTTTCCGGTAGTATATACTGTAGTATCCGGTATTCACTGCCTAGTCTCTCTCTCTCTCTCTCTCTCTCTCTCTCTCTCTCTCTCTCTCTCTCTCTCTCTCTCTCTCTCTCTCTCTCTCTCTCTCTCTCCAGCCCATCTCTCTCTGTCTGTGTCCATTCATTGAGTCTATATCATCAATGCATTGCACCTGGACAATGCTCAGGACTGATGTTTGAGGTGGGTTGGATATCTGGTTTGGGATGTTCACTTCTTCCTTTGGCTTTTCGTTTCATTTCCTCTACCTCTTCCTTCTTCCACGTCACAGTTTTGTGTCCGAGGTCCAATCATCATAGACTTCCCTGTCGCTATGCTGATTGCCACTTGCTCTCTCCTCAACCTTCTTCTCCAAGAAACAAAGCCTGCTGGTCAAGAGAATCAGAACTCAGCAAAATACAGAGTAGCTTAAACTCACACACGACTGGTTTATCCCGCAGGAACCGAAAAGGGTTTAGGGTTTAGGGGGTTAGGTTTTAAGGGTAGCTGTTGTACCTGCATGTGGTAAAAACTGAATGGGGCATACACATGTAATTGTTGTACTAGAAGTCTAGAACCTAAGGTTTTGTAGCACTAGAGAGTGTAGTAGTGTACCATATTTGTATGTATTCTATGTTTGTGTGGTTTGGTGCGATTCCCATTTGGTCCTTTTTTTCTATTCAACAAGATGTGTTTGTTCGTCTTTCCTTTCTGTTTTTGGCAAAAAAATGGTCGCAGACTCTGTTACATGCTTGCTGCGCCTGCAACAGGCGGCACGGGCCATTTCCAGGCCCGTGACGTTTTCAGGCCAAAAGCCTAAAAACAAGGGCCTACAGGCCCTGTGTCGTTTCAGCCTGAAAGCCTGAAAACAAGGGCCTACAGGCCCTGTGTCGTTTCAGGCTAAATCAGGGCCTTTCCGGCCCTGAGCGTTTTYAGCCYRAAACTGAGGGCCATTTHCGGGCCCTCATCRGTTCGACYTGCCCTGAAACTCAGGCAACAAACCAGGGTTTTAGCACAGGCCATTTCGGGCCTGTTTTCAAGACAACCCCTGGTTGAGCTTCAACGCCAGGGTCTGGCACGGGCATTGGCAAGAGCAGCCTCCTGGACGGGCCAGCGCTATATAGGACTGGCCCGCCCTGCAGGCAGGCAGGTAGTTCCTAGGTACTTCCCAGGCACTTCACGTGCAGTTCAGGAGGCAGGAGGTAGTCTTCAGGATTCGGCAGCAGCACTCTGGAGGAGCGCTGCAGTAGTAGTGGCAGCATTTTGCAGTAGTCTTCAGTGCTGGGCGCTAGTAGCATTAGCAGTAGTCTTCAGCGCTAGGCGCCATAGGAGCTAAAGTAGTACTAGAGAGAGAGAGATTGGGCGGAGGCCAGAGAGAGACTTACCTGCTGCGCCATTGCTCAGCTTCGTCTTCGAGGTACCTGCAGCACAGCGCTACCTTCACAGGTTAGTACCTGGCACATGAGAGAGATAGTTCTTCTTCTTCCTCTTCTCAGTCCACCATCTCCTTCTCACCCTCTCGCTATCTGGCTTCACTGCATCAGCAGACTACGAGGGAGAGAGAGAGAGAGAGAGCTTGGTGACATTTGCATCCAGACTCGACGTTGGACTTCAGACATTTTGAAGAGGGATTATTTGGGACTTGTAACGAGACTTGGTGTTGACGACTTTCCCATCTCCCCCTCCCTCTTCTTCGTCTGATCCCCTCCTCTTCGTCTGTGTATGTCTGGACCTGGCGCCTCTTTCCTGTGTATGGCGCCAGGCCCCTTCACACCTTGTGATGAGCATGATGTATGTTTGGTCTGCGTTGAAACATTGATTGGGCTAGTCATTAGTATTCTAGCATTCTGCTTCACTATCTTGTACTACGTGAAAGAGGTCAGTCCCGGTCAGGTCAGGACTTGTATCTAAATCTTCCACTGCGCTATAAAACACCATTTTGTATGTATCGGGATGTACACTGCTTGTTGAGATTCCACTTGCACTGCATTGTCCATTCAGTCCTTTTTCTCACATTGCAGATCCGCGGTTTTACATATACATCGCCCAGCTGGGCATGTAACAGACTCTCAGGGCAATAATTCTGCCAAAATGGCTACGGGGACTTACTTGCAATATCGCTAATCCGGTGGGCCGAAAATGCTCAGGTACCGGTACCTTCGGGGAAGTGCAAGAAAGAGGCTGGGAAAGTGCCTTGGAAATTACATGGCACTGACTGTGGAAATTCCATGGTCTCTGCAGCGGAGATGGCATGTCACTGTCTGCGGAACTTGCATGGTCTCTGCCTTGGAAACTGCGCAGCACCGGCTGTGGAAATTACTAGGTACACCAGCCTGGGAAAAATCCGGACGGCACTGGGGCCCCAACAAACGGGCCTGGCTTTTCTCCAGGACTGGTACCAGTTGGCTGAAAAACAGTCTCAGACTGGCAAGATTTCGACAAAAACAAGCAGTCCTGAGACCGTTTTTCAGCCAACTGGCCCGTGCATTGTGCAGCAGCTTGCACTGGATGCTGCCCAGACAAAGTAGTCCAGTCCAAGAAACATTTGGTGGGAGGCTGCTGGGCGGCTTCACTGCTGACTGCTTCACTGCTGCTTGCTTGAAGACTCGTGCATTGTGCAGCAGCTTGCACGGGATGCTGCTGCAAGCTAGGAGGCTATGGCAGATAAGGGGGGGAGTAGGCTTCCAGGGGGCAGTGGAGAGACATTACACTAGCCCGTCAATGGGCAGAACTTCCGAGAAAGTCAGCAAGTACTTATTTTTTTTATACCATGGCTGTTGCCACCCAGGAAGGGGGCCATGGTGGACAGATACCAGAGAGAGAAAAGAGAAGGGACTTGGGAGGCTATTCTTGGCCAGCGTTCGGGCTGTTTCCGTTCTCTCTTTTTTTGAATTATTTTTCTTTGCTTCATCTGATAGCATCTGGATTCTGGATTCAAACTAGGGTCTTTATTTCTTTTCTTTTCTTTTCTTTTTTAAAAGTTCTTAACTTTTTTTCAGTTTTTTTATATTTTTTCTTCTGGGAAAGCCCTTTTATTTCAGCAGTTCATGGGTATACCAACTGAGTGAGGCCCGTTGGTGGTGGTTTTCTGGTTGTTGTTCCTTGGTGGAGGTGAAACTTCGCACCCAACTGGACAGGGATAATAATTTGTGGATCGCCTTCAGGCGTTTGTAGGAGCGCAGAGGTGTTGGGTCATTCTCGCTTTTGTAGGGGAGGGGAGGCGCTGGGTTATTCTCTCTCCTGTTCTATTCTCCATGTGCGTCTAGAAGTGATTGCAGTTGGATGGTTGCTGCTGTGATTTGAGTTGTTGTGGGCAGGTACATGCATGGGCGGTACTTGGCAAGAGCAAGAGCGGCGTGAGGTACGTCATTTCATACCAGTTGAGAAATGTAACCCACATTTTAAATCCTGCCGGATGCAACAGTGTCAGGGCTCCCGCGAGAGCCTATCGATTTGTCTCTAGATCAGATCCGTCCAGCTACCAATCCAGCTTCTTATCATACCCCATCTCCAACACACAGTCTCCAGGAACTGGAAATCCAGAATGAGGTCCCTCAAGCAGAGCGGCTAGAAACCTTCCTTCTCAGAAAGGTCGGAGTCTCCCAGAACAGACCATGGGTCATATTCCAGCCAGAACTGAGCATCGAGGACCTGGAATTCGACACTAAGGAATGGATGTGGAAACAAAGCTCCAATTTCCAAAGGGAAATCAAGAACGATTTCCGAATACGACCTGAAATTTCAAATTTGGCTATGACCTCGGGCTGCAGGCTACAGACCGGAATCCCAGGCGAATAGAGGAATGGCAAAACATCCTGAATCTAGTCCCCTTCGCCCCGTTCACCATTCCGTGGACCAAATACGTGGAATTAGACCCTAAGGAATGGATGTAGGAACAAGGCTCCAAAGGGAAATCAAGAACGATTTCTGAATACGACGTGAAATTCGGCTATGGCCTCGGGCTGAAGACTACAGACCCGAATCCCAGGCTAATGAACAAATGGCAAAACATCCTGAATCTAGTCCCCTCCCGTTCACCATTCCGTGGACCAAATACTTTCTTATCAGGCCCGTCAGAATCCGCAGCATGCAATGGCTCCTAGCTCACACAGCCGTCCCAGTTAGTCAATGGCTCCACAAAAGAAGGAAACACTCAGACCCAGACCCAGACCCAGACCCAGATAGCTCAGAACTCTGTGTTCTGTGCAACAACAAGACACCAGAAGATACCCCCCACTGCCTCCTCTATTGTCCTGAAGCGAACTGGATCTGGAACGAAGTTCTGGACCTGTAGTCTATCCTCTTTTTAGCACCACCCCCAAACATCTCTCCTCCAACTATTCTACTCCTATCTAACACTCCCAGGAATCGCAAAGGCAGCAAGGAAATCTGGTTCAGTCTGCTCCTCTCTGGGTCATATGGAAATGCAGATGCACACGGACAAATGAAGAAGCAGAGGTGTCAAGGGATGAAATGTGGACTCTTCTGATAAGCATGGTGGAGACTGAAATTTGGGGCAGGTGGCAAAAGATATCCGCATCCATGATGCACAGATCAGAAAAACACTCAGTCAAAAGATGTACATTCCTGAGGAACTGGCTGTTAAAGGGCAAGATTGCCTCCATAACGGACAATGGGCTAATCTGGGAAAGTGGCATCAGGCGCAGCAGCAAGGCAACGGAACACCACGTAGTCAGTCTATGAAGGAGGAATAGTACAACGAGCACACGAACAAGCAGTGTGACAAGCAGTGTGACAAGCAGTGTGACAAACAGTGTGACAAGCAGTGTGACAAGCAGTGTGACAAGAAGTGTGACAAGCAGTGTGACAAGCAGGGTACAATCGAGGGTTCAGAAGTGGCCAGGGAAGAAATGTGGATTCTTCTGCTGAGGATGGTGGAGACAAAGATCCAATGCAATTGGAGAAGCGTCCTGGCAGCAACGAGAGGCCAACCTGAAAGACTCACACTCAGGTGATGAATCTTCATGAGAGAATGGCTGCTAGAGGGACAGATTGTGTCAGTCACACACAACAAATTGAATTGGAAGAAATGGGCCACTCCAACAACTACAATGAATGTAGACCCGAAAAGGACAAATTGAGGCCTTAGTCTCAGACTGACGGACATCTCTCCCAGTCTTTTGTGCTTCAATGCCTAGTCGACAGAACCAACAGGGTTTCTGAGAGGAAAACTAGGGTAGGGCAAGCTGACAGTCAATCCTCCCAAACAAGAGTAATCAATGCTGGTTAGGGTTTCTTCGGCTAGACAGACTGTGTACTATGATGTATTCAATTTTGACTTGACTGACGC